CTTGGATCCACTGTATTTCTGTTAGGTGAACTTAGTGACCTCAATTTGTGCTCTTATTCTCTCTATTTCTAGTCTCTCCTCTCTATCCTTTTCTTCTTTCTCTCTTTGTGCTCTTATTCTCTCTCTCTATTTCCAGTCTCTCCTTTCTCCCTTTTCGTCTTTCTCTTTCTCTCTTTCTTCTTCTCTTCTCTGCTTTTTTCTTTTTCTCTTTTGTGTCGATGCTCTTCTCTATCTCTAGGTCTTGTTGTTTAACAAACTCAGAGAAATGTGAAAGATTTGCTCAAAGACAGAACTGGGACAAAGGCAACTGGGCAGTCTGTCTCAGCCCCCTTCTTACAAGAAAAGGCCCAGAAATGTAAGCTGGCATGACGTCAGAAGATGCCACGGACTATGACATATTAAAAGTGGCTTTGTTGAAATGCTAAAGTTTTAGTATAAGTTCAGGGAAGTCAAACCTGACACTGGAGAACCTGTATTTTGGTTTGTGGCACATCTATGGCGATGCATCACAAGGAGTACTGACTAGATCTACTAATGGTTGGACAGTTCATGATCACATGCCCAACTGACATGGTCATTTCCTTTATAACAGTGACATGCCCAACTGACATGTCACTGTTCTAAAGGAAAGGGCTCCAAAAGAGGTGGGCGAGATGATTAAGTTGGCAGAACAGTATATGAAGCTCATGGAGGGAATACAACAAGCAATTCCAGGAATAACCAGTTACGTTGATATCAGGGGTGGTTGACCAGATGCAGAATGCCAAAAAAATGTGACAAGAGGTTAACAGACAAAAGGCAGAAGAGATGCCATGCTTGGGATAAAATAAGGAACATTGCAAGTGAGTGCAAGTCTGTCATGAACAAACAAAATTATAAATCTCAACAATAAGTAGCTGGAGCTATCTACAAAGACAGTGCTTGGAAGAAACAAGAAAAGAGTGACTGTCACCATGGGCACAGCTGCTAGGAGGAATCCGAATAGAGACAACTCATCAGATTCACCACAAGAAGAAGAAGTAATATTACCATAATTAAACAGTGTATGATTTTTGGTCAGCTCAAGTTAGCAAATGGGTCAACAGTGCCAGTAGTGATCGAAGCATGTGATATACATCAAGAGGTTCCAATAAATCACAACATGCCAGCAGGTGAAGGCTATGTTGGGCACAAGAAAGTGAAAATCCTATAAGGTAGTGGATGCAGTAGTGCAGCAGTCTAGTATCTGATGGTCAGATGATAGGTAAGGTACACCTGTGTATGCTGATTGATGGAACAATGAGAAAGTTTCCCTTAGCAAGAATAAAGGTGAACATTCCACACTGTGTAGGAGGTCTTGAGGCTATGTGTATTAAGGCACCCATCTATAACTTGGTGATTGGCAAAATATCACATACCAGAAATTTGGAGGAACCAGATAGAAAGGAGACTGATGGGGCATCCACAGTCACCACAATGGTTAAAAAAACAAAAAAGATGAGCAAGCAAGACATCAAACCCCTTCAAGTCTCAAAAGGTGACATCCCAATTGTAAGTCTATGAGAACTGAAGAAGGTACAGAAGAAAGACCCCTTACTGCAGAAACTTTAGGGCAGTGCCTGGGAGTAAGTAGAGCACAAGGCAAAAGTGAAAGAGACTTACAGAATATATTATCAAAAAAGGAGTATTGTACTGGATCTATCAAGGCAGTTCTACTGGGGAAGATAAACAGATCCTAGTACCAACAGAATACTGGACTCAAATTATGAAGCTGACTCATGAGTCGATTGTGGGATAACACCTAGGAGCAAAAAAGATGGCATACTCTATCCTCAGCAACTTCCATTGACCATGGGTTACTGGAGATATGACCAGATTCTGCAGGTCATGCGACATCTGTGAAAGGACAGTAACTAGAGGAAAGGTAGCCAAGATGCCACTGGGTGAGATGCCTCTCAGAGAAGAGCTGTTTAGCAGAGTAGCTGTGGTCTTGATCAGACAACTAGCACTTGTATCTGTCAAGGGCACTCACTATGTGCTGACAGTAGTTGACTATGCAACACGTTATTCACAAGCCATAGCACTGTCAAAAATAGAGACAGAGAGAGTAGCAGAGCCCTTCTGGAAGTGTTCTGCAGAGTAGGCTTTCCAAAACAAGTCTTGAGTGACAGAAGAGCCCAGTTTATCTTAGGACTGTTGCAAATGGTGTGCAGACTCATCAGCACTAGGCAGCTCTTTACAACCCTAGATGTAATGGACCTTGTGAGAGAGTCAATGGAGTCTTAAAGAGCATGCTGAAGTATATAAGCCAAGAGAGACCATGTGACTGGAACAGGTACCTGCAGGCAGAATTATTTGCTTACCAAGAAGTTTCACAAGTGAGTACAGTATTTTCACTCTTTGAGTTACTGTATGGAAAAACAGAACGAGGTCCAGTGCAGATATTGAAAGAATTGTGGACAGGAAAAGAAGAGTCAGAAGTGAGAAACACATACCAACATGTGTTAGATCTCAGACCTAATTAAATGAGACCTGTCACTTGTCAACTTACTCGAGAAAATTTGTATGCAGCTCAAGGCAATCAAAAGCACTTCTGTGACAAGTAGGCCAAGGATCGACGTTTCAGGGTCAGACAGAAGGCATTATTTCTGCTACTCACAAACTCACTCACTCTGCAATGGAAAGGAACTTTGAATACAGTAAGTGGTCCACAGAATGCACTAGAAAGTGAAAGAGGATGGAAAAACCAAGATCTACCACTCCAATCTATTGAAGAGGTACTTCACGAGGGAAGAGGACATAACAGGAGCAGCTATTGTGGCACAGATGGACGTTGCAAATGTGGCTGTCATAGTTGCAAAACCATCAATGGTAACTTTGTCATAGAAGATGAAGGCCTAAGAACACTTGGTGAAAATGAGACATACAAGGACATCAAGTGAAGAACTGAGAGACAAGCAGAAGAAAGACCTACAAGAGCTACTGTGCCAGTATGTAGATGTCTTCGCAGATAGACCAGACAAGACAGACACAATCACAATATCAAGACTACAACTAGGGATCTGTCAAGATGAAGCCCTATCAGATGCTCTATGCATGAGAAACACTATGATAGAGATTCGACCATTGAACCTGCAGAGACCCATTGCTTTGCCTTACTGGTGGTCTAGGAGATCCTAAAAGTCGAGACTCACTATTTGGCTCAGCTAGCCTGGATGGTTATTGCTGGTAGTGTTGCAGCCACTCATGAAGTCTGTCCCAACTATCTTTCTCCTATTTATATCAGTCCATAGCCCAGGAGGGGTTATTGCTGCCATTGTGGTATTAGGTGCTGGTTTAGTGTCAACAAATGCCTTGCATCTGACTGTCCAACATATAGCCACCCCTTGAGGCAATCTTAACTTTGGAAAGGTCTTTCAGGGTTTTGAGATTTAATGGTCCCTCTGGAGGTGGGTACACATTTGATATTTCTGCCATGACTTTGAAATTTATCGTCTGATGGGCATCAGTGTAGGGGCTGCTGATGCTAGGACGTCTGCCATTTCTCCTTTATCCGTGATTGGCAACTGAAAGCAGTGGTTATACCAAAAGCAGGTCTTCAAAGATCAACATGCAGGTGAAGATCAGTTGATCAATCAATGGGCCCACTACACTATCCTGCAAGGGCCTGGGGTAAAGGAGTGTTCAGCTGCTCTGACAAAGGCAGCCTAGCCTGTGAAGACTTTAGCACCAACCAAACAACTAATTTATTAAGATCTTGAACATCTAATGCATTAACAGAAATGCATATTCGTCCATAAGCTCTACAAGATAGATGGTCAGGCTGGCTCCAGCAGTCTTTGGGTCAGTTGAGAAGTTCAGCTCCTTGATAAAGGAAAAGACTCAGTAATCATATGTATTCTCCTTAGAATTTCAGCATACAAACAAGAATGGAAATTTAAACTGGCTGGTTGAAAACAAGATAGCCAATATGGCCCAGAGTTTGACCTTAAATACCAAGGATCTAGATTGTAAAAATTTTATTTTGTGAAAATAATTGGTCAAAAGGCCAACAAGATGTGGGTGTTGAATGGGGCTCATAATCATTGGACTACAACCATTGATTTCTTTTAGAAGTTACCTTAAGAGGGGAAAATAATATACTTGAAATACTGTGATCAAGTGTGATACTTTTATGGATTACACATGTGCTCATACAAAAAATCGTCGTCCATAGAATGTATATCCCTGGCGACCATGAATTGTGTGATCCATAGACCCATTGGTCTCCACTTGGCAAATACCTATTTAGTCATGCTGCTCTCTAATGCCATTCCCATGGAAATGGACAACATGCTCCCTGTGAAACAGATCCTACACGCATATACTGACTCAGATTGGGTAAAACTAACCTTCATTTTTGACCATTAGCAATTATCAACATTTCCATTTCTTTCCTTGGGATCTTCTTTCAGTTACAAATTTAGTATTAGCTCTTGCTAGTCTTAAACATATCACATGCCCTATTGTTCATCGTATACTGTATTGCTTACTTTATTGTATATCTGTGTCACCAATGTGTGTGTGTGTGAAATTGTGTCCCATTTCTTTTTCTGTGACCTAATTGTTGCAACTAGAGGGGGAAGTATACATCAAGACCGGAGATTCGGTGATCTCTTGTTGTTAGTTGCCTAACTTTTTCACTCTGCTGGTTATTCGAAAAACACCACATTTGTGTTAAGCACGCACACAATATTTCTTCCTCTTCTGTGGATTTCCTTGATATTAATATTTAGATTTACACACAATTAAACACAGACAAAAAATGTGTACAAACCCACCGACACCTTTTTTTGTGTTACCTCAAAGCTACGCAT